ACCCAAGGACTATCACATCCCTAATGTAATTTCTTGCTATGTGCAAAATATATATCCTTATATTTACACACAAATATCCCAGTCACTGTTCATCAGAGAAGGTTCTTTTGTATCAGATGGAGACTGTTACCAAGTACCACAACTGGTCACACACATTGTCTATAAATTGCTCAGGACTAAGTGACATATCTACAATACAACCTCTACATCTAAGACTCACAAAACATAGACCAGGAGTAAAGAGGTCATTAATGAATCTCTCAGTTCTCATCAATGAACCTCCCTCATGCAACAGAGGACCAGGAACACAAAAAGTCATAAAGGGCCAAAGTGTAAAGATTAAGTCTGCAGAATGCTGGTTCTTGAACAAGACTCCTGTAAAAATGCACCCACCCAGGGCTTGGGGAACATTGCAGAAGAGGGGGTGGAAAGAAGATTCTAACAGCCAGGGAGGAGGTGCATGACCATAAGAAAATAAAAGTCCTACAATGTCCTTGGACCCTGCTCATATGAACGTACAGCAATGGTGTCAGCATACACAAAACCTATGCAAACTCAAGCAGATAAAAAACCAGCACAGAACTGTGGAGATGGACAGCAGACCCCAATCTTAGCGGAAGAAATACTGGCAACTGATTACTGCTAGGAACTCTAGATAAGATGACTAGACCTCAGTAGCTGAACTTGTACTGAGGGACACATTAGGCCTCAACAGAAATGACAAAATGTATGAATTCCAGTGGGGGAATTATGGGAGGGTGCCAATGGCGGTGAGTATAATGACTGAGATGTTCTGTATGCAATACACAAAAATTCAATAAAAACAAAATTTAAGACGTTTAGTAAAGGAATAACATCTCTACACAACTGCAACTATTAAAACTGGATATGGAATAGAGTTCTCTAAAAATGGCAACAAAAAGTTTAGCAAGAAATTATTGATAGCAACAAATAATTAACCACATAATCTTCACTGGGAACGTTATAGACGTGCCATTGTGACTGACTTCCATTTGCTTTTGTTAGCTTTATGAGACGGGGTATCCCTGTAGCCCTAGCTGGCCTGAAATTCACTATATAGATCAGGCTGACCTCACTCTCAGAGATCTGCTTACCTTTGCCTCCTAAATCCTAGGATTAAAGATGTGCACTACTATGCCTGGCTGCCATTTGCTTCTTTCAGTATCAATTCACCTATAATCACAGCACACTTCTAAAATTTCTTTGATATCAAATACAAGTGATTCTGAAGTTAGGAAGTAGTAAAGGTGTGAATTCTTGAAAGAACAATGCTAATGGCTATGACATATAATGACACAATCAATGAACATAATAATCTATGCACCATAGGGTATTAGTACATAGACATGTGGGTAGATGTAATGACATGATACAAACCAGAAATTTTAAAAATTATCCTAATTTTTATTACAATTATCTTTGTGTATGTGTGGTTCTTGTGGAGAGCAAAGGACAACTTGTGGGAGTCAGTTCTCTCCTTCCACCAAGTCAGGTCATCAGACTTGGTGGCAAGCACCTTTGTCCACTGAGTCATCTCATTAGCTGAGGTCTGAAATTTTTTTTTGGGGGGGAGGGGATCTTAACAAGTTTATTGGACTTGCTGAGCTTGGGGCGCAGGTTTACTTACAGAAGAGTGGGTGCCACCCCATTCACAGCTATGCTCGAAAGTCCACATCTAAACATAAGTCTGGTGGCTTCCCAACAGCCACACAAAATGATGACAGAGCGGCCTTGTTTTTTTTTCCTACTTATATACCCTTAGTCCCTCTCCTTCAAGCTGCTAAGGCCAACCAACTGGCTGGAGGAGGTAATAGACTAGACTCCTTCTGCAGAGTGTGGGAAGGAGGTGGGACCACGGCTTATCATCATAGGGTCAGAGGAACATCCAGGTCACACTCCACCACTTCCTCTGGCTCTTTCAAACTTTCTGCCACCTCTTCCGTGAATTTCCTTGAGGGGGCGATAGATGTACAGCGATCTTCCTCCCATTGTGGTAGGGCACTGGACTCTTCAGGTCTCTGCATTGTCTGTTTGTCACAAGCTGACAAACAGCTTTAGCTATTGTGAGGTCTGAAGTTTTTTTTTTTTAATATTTTTATGTGTATGCATGTATTGCTTGCATGTATGTGAGCGCACCCATGTCGTGCAATGATGCTGAGGTCCGACGAGGGCTTTGGATTCCCCCGGAACCGGAGTTAAGGAAGGTTTGTAGCTGCCATGTGGGTGCTGGGAATCAAACCCAGGTCCTCTGCAAGAGCAGTCAGTGCTCTTAACCGCTGAGCCATCTCTCCAGTTTCTGTCTGAAATTCTTGAATGTTAACCTTGGATGGAACTGGGTTTCATAATTCAGAATACTGTTGAGTTTCTAATAACACAACATATCTACTATATGTGCTAGAATAGGATACTGGTTAAATTACTACTTCTACAGTAAAAAATGACTTATTCAGAGAATGAAATAAAAGTCTGTAAATAACCTTGTGCCATTTTGTCAGGATTTGACATGAAACGAGCTCTGAAGCTAAATTTGAAGGAAATAAAACTGGCTCTCAGAAGCTTTTGGGCTTCAGAATTTTAAGAGATTATGAATCATTATAGGATGAAATATCCTAGATAAATGAGTATAGGAAAGTGTATTTAACAAACTGTACCATGGCTAAAGATTTAGGGAAAATGTATACTTTGATCCTTTCATCACACCAGTTATCAAAGCAAATTGTATATGGATTAGAAGCTACCTACAAATTCAAACACATTAAGTAAAAGCCTAGAAAAACATGATTTAGTTGCATATACCTCTGATACACATATGGTATGGAAAATACAACTATTTACTGGCACAAATGTAAATTGATGTTTTTTTAGTTGACTCTGACAAAATGTATTGCTATATTCACATTCATAAAAAATGGACATTAGATGAAAGAGAGATGGCTTAGCAATCAAGAGCACTGACTGCTCTTGCAGAGGATACAGGTTTGGTTCCCAGCACCCACATGGTGGTCTACAACCACCAATAACTCCAGTTTTAGGGGATACAATACACTGTTTTGGCCTCTACAGGTATTGCATGCACATGGTTCACTTATATATATGCAGGCAAAACACTCAGATACATCAATAAATCTTTTTTTGTTTTATGTGTATGAGTGCATCGTCTGCATGTATGTAAGTGCACCCTTTCTGTACAATGCCCATGAATTCAGAAGACGTCAGATACCCTGGAACTGTAATATTTGTTAGTCACCATGTGGGTGCTGGGAATAAACCTAGGTCCTCTACAAGAGTAGCCAGTGCTTTTAACTCTAAACCACTAGAGCAATCTCTCCACCCTCTTTAATTCTAAGTTCCAGGCCAGCTGGGGCTACAGGGAGACCTTATCTCAAAAAGACACCCCCCCAAAAAAAAAGAAAGAAAAAAAGAAGGTAGGTTGGATTCTGAAAGAAAACTTCATAAACTTATGGGTAGCTATAAAAAATAGCCATGTATTGTCATTTGGATGGTACACTTAACGCAGAAATGTAGTCACTGGGGTATTTGGCCATCAAAATGGGTTACCAGGTATGACAGCTTAATTATAACATGGGACATGAGGATATGGTTTAGCTCTTAAACAAAAAACATTCAGGTACAAGCTGCTGGACTGCATCTAGTACCTCACGCCTGTAATACCAGATCAAGAACTCAGGGAGTCATCCTTGAGCCAAGGCCAGCCTGAGCTACATGAGAGACACTAACTCAAAAAACAAACAAAAAAACAAAAACAACAACAACAAAAAACCTACAAAAAGAATCTTGAAGAACGGTAACTTCTTTGTATGTGAATTCTCAATATTTAGCACATAATCTATATAAGTACAAGTGCTACTGAAGCAAGCAGGTATGTAAATCCAAACTTGATAATGAAAATATTTATTCAAACCTAACTACAGTATAAGATCAAACTGAGTTGATTAAACATTAACTGCATGATATTTAGTTCTTTGAATAGACCATAGTCACATTATGAAAATTTCTTACAACATAAATTTTGGCAATTAAGAAGGCATAATTTCTACATTGAAAATGTCTTTGTTAGGGTAGGATGGATTTATTCTTTAAAGGCCCAGTACAAAAAAAAATGGTTGAAGAAAGTACTTTTTAATAAAATATACACCCATAGAAAAAAATCCTAATATACTGATATTCAGTTAAACAGAAAGCACTTAAGAAAACATACTTTATATCTAGGCACAATTGGTCAAGTATTAATGATAATTTCTGTTATTACTTAAAAAAGTTTAAGCCAGCTTTTCAACCTGACTGTGTGTGTTTGAGCCCAATATAGAGAAGGCACCTCTCACTCCCCGTAAGGACCTTTTGAGAGTAACTCTTTATAACATTTTTAAGGGACACACAAAGTTCTATACCTAAGTACAGACATAGTTATTTACACATCCCATTTTAGGAGAAAGTAAATTACAATATAACTATGATTTGTCTTTTTACATTTTGATGAACATGACTCTCTAAGACACCAAAAGACATTCCTCAACAAAGGTATAACATACAAGATTTAAATTAAATGTGCATTGGTCACTATTATGTGAAAAGTTCTATGAATTAGTGCAATTCTTTGTATCCCCAGTGCTTAGGGAAAAGTTTATAGAGATATATAAAGAAATCTCAATTACTATCTAACTCATTTTTTTTATGGCTCAAAGGTCTAAGCACTTAATATTCTGTAAAAGATCTTTAAAAGTTATAAATGAAAAGATCAGAATACTCAATAATGGTTTATAAAAATCTCTCTTTAAAACAAAGAGAACAGAATGACCAGAAGAAATAAAGTATAAAATTCCAGAAATATAGTTTTTACTGCAATTATGAGAATGGGTGGTTAAATATTTTTAGGGGGAAAAAATCCATCAAACTTCTGTTTTCTGATTAGATACTTTACTAATCAGTTGAGGTGGTTATCAGGTTTTTGTACTTAGTGGCTATATATTTAAATGTATTACTGAACATTCACTGAAGGTTATTTGTAAGAATAAACATCACCTTCCTCCAAAGAAAATGAGAAACTATTCCAGATGAATAAGCTTCAGGCATCATAGGAAGTAACAACAACAACAACAACAACAACAAAGTGTTAAGAACATTAGGTTGATTTAACCTCTATTTCAACAACATATATACAACATTTACAGTATGCAATTGTCAGAGCTATACAATTTTGCAGATTGGCTTTACTTACATTTCTGCACATTTTTCCTAAAATAAAAATATAACAAGAAAGTCTATTTACAGCCAGGAAGCTGCTTCAGAAACAGCATGGTTTAGATATAAAGTGAAATTTCAGTACAATGAAAGTGCAGGTCACATTTTCAGACTCTTTTAATACCCCACTTCCTACACTCAGTTTTAGGGATACTAGTTTTAAAGTTACTGTTCTCAAGATGTGTAGGATGTTTACTCATCATAATGCAATGATAACAAAAATTTGTCCACATCCATTCCTGCTGGAAATGAACTAGGTAGCTTCTTTTTCTGTCAAAAAAGAAGAGAAGGAAAAAATAAGCTCCAGGCCAGATAATTTTCTTAGTAAATCACCTAGAACATTATGTTGGGTTCTTCTACAGACTATTAAAATTCCCAGCATTTTTTTTAGCATGTGTCACCACGCCCGGCGAGAACACCATTTCTTTAAGGTGGTCACTGCTGACAAATTATAAACTTCAGAAAGCTTTACTAACAGACATTTTAAAATTAATTCCATTTATTTATTGTGTGCATGCATTCCCACTAGTGTAAATGCATACAAGTCAGAGGACAATTTTTGGGAGTTAGTTCTCTTTCTACCATTTGGAAGGAACTCTGGTAATCAAGTCTGGCAGAGAGCATCTTTACAGGTGAGCCATCTCACTGGCCCTTCACTAACAGATATTAAGAGTTCTATAAACTTAGTAAGTTTCAAACACTAAATAAATATGGAGGTACTTTCTATATACTATTAATAAGACTGCAAAGCCACAGGGTAAGATGAAGTACTCTATGCCAAATAATGAGGCAGAGAGTATGAGAAGCTAACTAAGCATGGTTAGTTTCAGTGCCAACAAGCCCCGCTGGTACAGGATTCAAAGCAGGCTTGCAGGTAGGTATCAAACAATATTCCACCCCTGCCACCTGTTACCTCAAATAGTATACTTTCTCTATGACATCTAAATACTGTTAACTCAATCCACTTAGAGCTAACAAATTTGAAATAAATTAGCTTTGTCAATGCTATTATCCTTGCATTGCCTTCCTAGACAACTGTGATTACAGAAAAAACACGGGAACATTAATTTTTCTGCTGCTCTGTTTTTTCGTCTTTAAGCACCATGGAAGAGACGGGAAGACATGTATAAAACCTCCATGTCTAAGATAAGGAAGGTGTTTTTCTTGGTAATTCCACATACTAATGGTTTCTCAGTCTTTCATGTTTTATGTCACTCCCATGAAAAGTCCTGGTCATATCATGACAGAAACACTACTTTTCCCAAAGAAGATAATCATCAACATCTTAAGTGATTGTTTTGAAACACTGTTTCACCTAGACAACTTCTGAGTATCAGTATGACCAGAAAACACTAGTAAATATATTCTGTCAATCAAAACTCAACACTGTCTTGACCAGATCATCTGGTCAGGTAGCTGTAAAAAAATACTGAATTCTCTAAACGTGTACACCAAAGGGAGAGGAGTGGAACTGATATTAGAACTTTCAAACTTGCCTTGATTTTCTTCTTCTTCATTGGTATTGATGAATTTGCAAGATTTTTATTAGAAGCACGGGAGTTTCGCTCGCGCTCATCCAATTCCTCAATTTTCCGCTTTTTTGTGGTACTCCTGGAAGATGTTCTAAATTGCTGTGTGTTATCTTTCAGAGGAGTTGCTGACGTCCTAGAGATTGCTGCTCTAGAGAGAATCATTAATGTGTGGGCAGCCATGTTTACACTGTTTTCACTGCCTGTCTCACTGGCAGGACTGCAGGCAGGCAAGTCTGGAGTGACAGGAGGGACCATGACTTTGGGTATGCTACTACCATCTTCACCATAACGCCTACTAGAAGGGGCCTTGATACCGTTTGTAGGCTCTTCTTTATGCTTTTCCCCAGCTCCTGAGCCAGGTGTCCGGGGTATAGACAAATCACTTTCGGCAATTCTATTCACTGGGCTGTGCAACTGAACATCCTGTAATATTTCTGTATTAATTAAAGAACCGGCAGATTTAGTTTGTTCTTGTTTTAGGTCTTTCACAGTGCCACCTAGTGAAGTAGGATTTTTACTGTTTGAAGATGTGGCTTGTTTTTTGGTCAATTCTTGCAGAGAAGCTATGGTTTTCTCACTTCGTAAACTCCCATTCTGCTGCCCAACAGGCAGTTTTGAAGTGTCTGGATTTTTCTGCCTCTCCCCATCACTGCATAATTCATTCTCTTTGTTAGCTGTTGCTTTATGGAAAGATTCAAGTGCCAGTTCTGTGGGTGAAGCTTTCTTTTCTGACTGAGTTTCTCTTAAGGTGGTATGTCGGCTAATGGCACTTTCTGATTTAGAGAGAATCTTGGGCAAAGTTTTCTCTCTCTCTTTTTTAGTGACATTATTGGAAGGGGGTTTTAAGGTGGAGGGCACAATGGGCGGGTCAAGATGGGGCAAGGAAGTTTCATTCTTTTCCTTGTTTTGGGATATCATCTTATGGTTTGGCCCCTGTGTATTTGTCATAGAAGAAGCACTGCTATCAAAACACAGCACTCGCCTGTGACTTTCAAACGGCTTGCTAGCAGGAACTATGCTCCCTACTGAGGGAGGAACTTTGATCTTGATCTCTTCCAATTTTTTCCCAGATTCAACGGCCATATTCTTATCAAAAATTTCAGTTCTACCCACCCTAAAAAAATAAAATAAAATAAAAATCTCATATTTAGCAATATAAATCCGTTATGTAATTTGAGCATTCAAATAATCTATGACACAAAGTACTTTATGCTCACCTTTGTGTGTGACATGCAACAGAAAGGCTGCCTGAATCTGCCAAATTATTTATCTGTTTCCCTGGAATTATAAATGAATTTATTAGAAACAAGAAACGTTTCTGAAAGAATATACGCCTCTAAAAGAGGATGGAACAGATGACACTATAATACAAAGTGAGAAAAACATTTTTTTTTTTTTGGTCTTTTTGAGACAGGGTCTCCCTGTAGCCCCAGCTGGCCTGGAACTCACTATGTACAACAGGCTGGCCTTGAACTCACAGAGATCTGCCTGCCTCTGCCTCTGGGCACCACCCCAAGAAAAACATTTAATGACAGTTAATATACAAATAAAACTTTCATATATTACTTTAAAAAAAAGAGCTTTATTATAATGTAGGCAAGATGACTACTCATCCATTCTACAGAGGAAATATAGAGATAGACCAACTGATTGCTTCAATTTCAGGCAAATAATATGAATCCTGATTTTGGATTTATAAAGTATAATGGTCCAGATGGCACTTAATGCACCATAGTTGTCTACTAGTATCTGTGAGAATGGACCCCCATGGATATCAAAATCTGCTGATGATCAAGTTCCTTACATAAAAATAGAGTAGTATTTGCATATAACTTGCATATCCTTGAATCATCTCTAGGTCACTTAAATGACAGAATAAAAATGCATGTTAAATACTTGATATTGTATTATTGTTCAGGGAACAATGACAAGAAAAAGTCTTATATGTTCAGCACAAATATAATATTCAACCTCCCAAGGTTTTTACTACCTATTGTTAGTTGAATCTGCAGATGTTGAACCCACTCATAAGAAAAATCAATTAAACTCAGATCAAGACAAAGATTTTTATAAGCAGTATGGGGCATGGTGTTATCTGCCTTTAATTTCAGCACTACAGAGACAGAGGCTGGTGGGGAGAGGCTTTAAAATAGATCAGAAGCAATGTATGTGAGACTTGGAGTTTGGATGGAAGAAAGTCAACATAAAGAGCAGAAATAAGACTAGAAAGGACTTTCTCCACCAAGAAGACAGATGGTGTACCCAGCCACAGCCAGTTACTCATGCTGAGCTGGTACAGCCCAGGAAAGTGATGTCAAACTCTGAGGACCAGGTTTGTTCTAAGAACGAGGGAGAGATAGCACTGCTGGAAACCCAAACTGGAGGTTGAACTCAGTTCAACCTGGAGAAGAGTGAAGCGTAGCCAAGTCATGGACACAGAAAGGAGGTAGGAGACCCCGAAGTTAAGAGAATTGTAATGTTCATTATTCTCACACCCTTGACCAGACCAGTAAGAAATTAGAACTGCAGGAAAAACATAGCAGAAAGGGTAATATGATGCAGCATCCTGATGGAAGCAATAGACTTTACTCAGTAGACTGGAGATAGCTGCAGGGGTATGGTAAGAGAGCATGAAATTGAGATTCTCAACAGCTCTCACCCTGGTCACAACAGGGAGAAGCTGTTTGGATCACAGGAAGTTTGGGTAGAACTTCCTGCAGTATCCTGAGAGAACTGAAGTAAACACAGTGGGCTCCTTTTAATCAGGAAGAAATACTGATTAAAAACTTAAAAACAAATTTTTATTTATTGTTTTAAGTATATGAGTGTATTGCCTGCATGTATATGAGTGTATTCATGTTGTGCAATGCCGCGGATGTCAGAAGAGGGCTTCGGATTCCCCTAGAACTGGAGTTAAGGACAGTTCGTAGCTGCCATGTGGGTGCTGGGAATCGAACCTAGGTCCTCTGCAAGAGCAGTCAGTGCTCTCAACAGCTGAGCCATCTCTCTAGGCCCTGATTAAAAATTTTATTCCTTTTTGTTTTTATTATTTTAGTGTTTATACTTTTGTATTTTAAGTGTTTAGATGTTGTGTTGTAACTTGTATCTCACTGGAAAAGGCTTTTATGTCTCTCTAAACCTAATATACAGTATTTTTCTATTGCTTTTCATACTTCTAACCCATATACTTTATCATTCTTACTTTACCCCTTCTTTTCTGCTTTCCCATTCTTTCCTCATTATTTAAAATACTGCTACTCTTGAGGCTGGAAGAGATGGCTCAGTGGCTAAGAGCACCTGCTGCACTAGGGCAGGTCACCATCATTGTAACTAGTTCCAGAGGGTCCCACACCCTTGTTTGGCCTCCTCAGTCAACCAGGCATGCATGTGGTACATATACATATATGCGAGCAAACATTCACACACATAGAAAAAAAACTTTAGCCAGGCATGTTGACAGAAGACTTTAATCCCCAACACTAAGAGGCAGAGGCCTGTGAATTTCTGTGAGTTCCAGGCCAGCTAGAGCTATATAGTGAGACCCTGTTTTAAAAGCAAAATCTAAAAAGCAAACAACAAAAGCCCTAATATTCTTCCTTCTTTCTTTCTTTTGCTTTTTTGAGACAGGGTCTACTTGTAGCCCCAGCTGGCCTGGAACTCACTATGTAGACCAGGCTGGCCTTGAACTCATAGACATTCATATGCCTCTGCCTCCTGAGTTCTAGAATTAAAAGAGTACACCACCATACCCGGCCTCTTATTTCTTAAAAAGATTTTTTCAGAATCCTTCTTCAAAAAAAGACCAATAACTGTACAGAGGACAAAAAATACTCAGATAAGGAAATGAATCTATGACCTGAAAAAGAAAGTTTCCACAGTAGATGAAATAATTAGTAATTTGTAGGAAAAATTTAAAGACATGAAGGAAAAATTCAGGAGGGAAATTGAGATGCTGAAAAAGAACCAAAGGAAAGTTCAGAAAATCAAAGAACCAGTCAGCCAGTCACTCAACCAATCAAACAAAAATCATAGAACAAAGGAAAGGGAGTGAGTCCCTTTAGCACTCCAGAGGTTCAAGAATCACTGATACTCTAATGAGATGAGATTTTTCTAGCAGTCAGCTCAGAAGTGTTATGTTTGCAAATAGAAGACACAAAGTCTGGGGTGGGAGGGTGGAGGGTGGTAGTGTGTAGTAGGCTGAAGGTAGAAAAGGGGAGGAGGTGTGACTATAATGAAAATCCACTGTACAAAATTCTTGAATAAATAAAATTTCTCTTAAAGCGCTAGCGCATAACATACACAGACACAGAGAGACAGCAGAAAGCATAATCAACAGACAAAAGCAGGCAGAAAGACCAAACCTAAGAATCCATGGGGTAGAAGGAGCAGAGGTAAAATAAATAGGTTCAGACAATCTAGCCAATGAAACTATGGCAGAGAATTTCCCAAATCCAGACAGAGACATCCAAATAGAGCATTTAGAACCCCAAATAGACATGGCTGAAAAAGAACCTCCCTATGACACCTAATAGTCAAGATGTCAAAAATACAGAGTAAAAAAGCAAGAGCAAATGATGTAAGAGAAAAATACCAATTCACAGAGGCAGAAATTGCTGTCACAGCCCTAGAAGCCAGGAAAGCATGGAATGGTATTTCCAGCCCTGAAAGTAAATAGCTGTCAATCATCATTGCTACACTGAGAACGAATGATGGAGAATGAATACAATCACAAGTTAAGGCAGTTTAGGACATCTAGGCTAGAACTGCAAAAAATTCTTAAATGTAAGCAACAGTTTCATCCACAAGAATACAGGAAAGAATATATTTCATGAGAGAACAGATGAACAAGAGAGCCAGGAAGAAAGAAAGCAATCATACGACTGAACAGACTGCATGTTGAGTTTTTTTGGGACTGGAGTTCAGTACCCAGTACCCATGACAGGTAGTCATGGCTGCCTGTAACTGCAGCTCCAGGGGATCCATGCCATCTTCTGGCCTCTGCAAACACCCGTACATTTCTACAGCGACATACATACATAGACACATATACATAAGCAAAACTAACTAGAACAACATTCAATAAAATTGTAATAAACAGCAAACCCCTATCAATAATGACCTTGAATGTAAATGGCCCTAACATACCAAGTAACAGACACAGGCTAACTGACTGGATTGAAAAACATGATCTGGGCTGGTTAGATAGTTTGGCAGGTAAAAGTACTTGCTGTCAAGCCTGATAACCTGAGTTTGATTCCTGGAACCCTCATAATAGGAGAGAAATGACTCCCACAGGTGTTGTCTGACTTCCAGCACTGTGGCATGCTCCCTTTCTAAACATCACATACACAAAATGTTGAAAAAAAGTTAAAAAATAAGATCCAACTATCTGTTGTCTTCCATAAACTCATGTAAGTAGTAAAGACACCCATCAGCTTAGAGTCAATGGTTAGAAATCAACCTACCAAGCAAATGAAGTTTTATGCAAGCTGGTGTAATGATACTCATATTGGATAAAGTAAGTTTTAAACCGAAACTAGTCAGAGAATGCCATTACACGTTAATAAAGGGGAACAGTTCGTCAAGAAGATTTAACTATTATATTTATGCGTCGAATCTTGCGGATCCCAGTTTCACAAAATAAACATTAAAAGGTCACACAGATATTGACACAATAGCAAAAGACTTCAGTATCTTACTTCCCTGTTGATAGGTTTTTCCAAACAAAACTTAGCAAACCAAGTTAAGACAAACCAAACCCCACAAAACCCCTAAACAAAAGCAAACAACCCCCCCAAACAAACCAAAGCCTTCAAAGCTAAATTACAGCAAAAATCAATGGATTTAACAGATATCTAAAAACTATTTCACCCAGCAAATAGGGAATACACACTCTCAGTGGCACAAAGAGCCATCTTTCAAACTGATCCCACCATAGACCACAAAAGAAGCCTTAACAAAATAGAAAAAAAAGGGGGGAAATAATTCCTTGTGTCTTATCAGTCGACAGTAGACTAAAACTAGAATCAGTAGCAAGAGTAATCTCAGAAACTACTCAGGGAATACTGTGGAAGAAGGGATAGACAGAATCTAAAAGCTAGAGAAAGGGATGGAATACTGTGGAATGCTCTTTCAGGAATGGTGTTGGTGTTGCACTCAACCCCCAACAGCTGTGATTACCTGTGTAAGACACACACAAGATTAGGCCCACCAGTATTCTGTCATGTTTTTTGGGTCTCACAAGGCCCCGTCTTTCAGGGAAGATTTATATAGGCAATTAGTAGTTGCTGGATGGTAGGCAGGAGTTCAAAAGGCCCACCCCTACCTGAGGAGCTGTTGGAAGTTAATGGTTGTTGGGGGAGGCATTTCCTTCAGTGATGCAGCCACTAGTAAGCTGCTCTAACTCCTTACTGCTGTTCACTTAGCAACCCTAATTAAACTCACAGGCACATAGGCACAAAAGGGGGACTAGTTGGGAAGAAGGGTATCAGTGTGAGACGAATGATTAAAGTATGTTACACACATACATCTGTATAATTTCCTAATCTATGCTAATAAAAGGAGTAACCCCAGATACTACACAAATACTTGGAGACCGAACAATACACTTTTGAATGAAGAATAATCAGAGATTGCAAATAAATAACCTAATGATGCAGTTTCAGGTTCTAGAAAAACAAGTCAAACTCAAATGTGGTAATTAGATGGCAAAGAATAATAAAGATCAGGACAAAAATTAGTGAAAGACATTCTCTATAAAGATTAATAAGCTTGTAGTCAAACTAATGAGAACAGAAGACCCAAAATAATGAAATTGGAGGTTAAAAGGGAGACATTATTAGAAGACAGTCCAATGAAATCCAGAAGATGATTAGGGAATATTTAGAGTTAGAAATTCCTTCTTTTCCAGCCACTTTCTTGAGATGATGGCTCACTACATTGTTCAGTCTGTTCTACCCTGTTTCACTCTTCCAAGTGCTGGGCATACAGGTGTCTGGCCAGAAGCTTAGTTTTACCTTGCAAGCAATAGGGAACTGCTGGCATTTTCAGGCATTTGGATTTGTTTCTGAGGGGCAGGATGGAGGGGAGACTCTTAGCTAACAAATATAGACTGGACTAGAAAAACAGATATTAAAAATGAATACTAGAAGAGGGCACTATTGGTATGACACAGAAAAATGATAAGTATTAGAATTAAGAGGTGTGTGTGCTAGCCCAGAGGCAGGTGGATCTCTGTGAGTTCAAGGCCAGCCTGGTCTACACAGTGACATAGTGAGTTCCAGGCCAGCTGGGGCTACAGGGAGACCCTGTCTCCAAAAAAAAAAAAAAACTGTGCTAAGAGCGACTCAATAGAGATGTTAGCGCTTCTCACAAAAATAGGGAATATGGTATGAAAAGCTTCTTCAACATTCCAAAATTGTCTGGAAAAGCAATGATTATACTTATCTTAAGTAGCTCCAAAGATCATACCAAGGACCAATGGGCCAAAGCTAAAGCATTCGACAAAGAAAAGCTTTTACCAGAATTAAAGCTATCGAATAACAGAGCTGGCCGCCTTCTAACAATTGCTGGCACAACTCTTTATGTAAAGGTGGGAGGAGTGCTTGTTAGGGATAGTATGGGTGCCCAAAAAGAGAATATTCAGTTGTTGCTTTAAGAAAATGAAGATACAAAGTGGACATTAACTCAAAGAGAAAAGTACCTGTACAAAGTTTGTTTCTGAGTCCCTGAGCCTTCTGAGATTTTGGAGGAATGGGGAACTGAGGGATACTTCTACTGCATACAGGAGCTGCTAAAGGCATATGGAGTACCTGAAAGGGAAAAAGTTATTAATCATGCTACATTTGGAAAACTTCCCCCACTATTTTTGGTTCATAAATACTACCTGCTGAGAAGGAGTAGGAAATGTACTTCCATTCTGTCCAACAACAGATACAGGAATCATGCCCACCATCCCCTGGAGTACAGGCTGGACTGGAGAAGCAATTATGATGGCAGAGCCTAAAAAACAATTCTCATTAAAATCATATTTCCTCTGAATTAGTATTTTGAAATAAATTCTAAGACCAACACATTTTTCCCGACAATAGCCTTAAAACAAAAAACAAACAAAAAAAAAAACCCCAAAACCCCAAAAACTTAAATACAACAGCAAAGCTAACAAATCAAGTCAATCTGAATATTAAGTTTTAGGGCATTTAGTGATAACTACCATAAATAAGCATGAGACTCTATTAAATACTAATCCCTCTAACAATGAATAGTGAAACTAGAAACTGAGTGGTGAATGTTTCCAGTTTGAGCCCTATACTAGAAACCTATAATTCCAAATGAATTCCTATAGTCCCAAGCTATTTACCTAATGTATTATACTGCAATGGTATTGGTCAAAAAGAGCACAGAACTTCTACAACCACATAAATAATGGGGGAAAATTATAATGCCGCCAATGTCCTTAGAAGCAAACCACAATTACTGGTACAGAATTAAGTTCTGTTCTGTAAATGAGCCTTTTCTTAATACACTAGCTACTCCTATCACACTGATCTTATTTTCATATAAACTCATTAGTCTCTTACATACCTATGTATGCTTATGCTACTTCTTTGGCTATAAAGACTTCCTTTACCTTCAAATCTTATCTGATTTTTCATTTATTGCCTGCATGTATGTAAGCGCACCCATGTTGTACAATGTGTAAAGAGGTCAGAAGAGTGTCAAATTCCCTTGTAACTGGAGTTATGGACAGTTGTTAGCCACCATGTGGGTGGTGGGCATCTGCAAGAGCAGTCAGTACTCTTAACCTCTGAGCTATTTCTCCAGCACCCCACCACCTTGAGTTTTAGCTCAAGTTCCATACTGTGTACCATTTCTGACCTCTCCTTTATCGCCTTTGAAATAGCATTTGAAAGTGCTCTAACACATTTAACACTTACTTGTTAGTATTTAATCAGATTTCATTACACACATTAGTACACATGGCAGTGTAGATGAATGTGCCGTAAGTTCTCTCAGAAACATACCATTAAGGATGACTTACGAGATAAGTCTGTCAATTACTAATTACTTGCAATAAATACAAGAGCCCTGTGGAGATCTAAGGATGGGAATCACTTCTAGATGGTAGTAGATAGTGAGAAGTTAGAAACAGTTTATAGAAGAAATTTAAGTTGCTTTTGAAAGTCTATCTGAATGACAAATTCCTTTAAAAATGATGACTATAATAGCAATTTAAAAGAAATCTGCAGAAGCTGGAGAGTCAGCTCAGCAGTTAAGAGTACTAACTGGCTGATCTTTCAGAGGACCCAAGTTTGGTTCCCAGCACCCACATGGTGGCTAACAATCATCTGTAACTCCAGTTTCACAGGATCCAATGCCCTCTTCTGCCCTTGTATGCATTGCACAACACAGGTGTCCTTACATACATGCAGGTAAAACACTCATGCACATAAAATAAAAATAGAAACATTAAAAGTCTCCTGCAACATTGAGTTTTAGTTAGGTATACTGATTAATTCATTAATTAAGACTTCTTATAATTTATTAGTGCAGACTGAAAACTGTGAAAATAAAAAAACCCTCAACTGTTAAATCTGTGGCCCACTAGATTCCTGGATCAATCAGCTGGCACAAGAGGCATAAGCAAAAATTCCAAAATAGTTCTCATGAGCTATGTATGATATACTATCTCCTAGTCAATGATTCACACCCAAGAAAATTAGATTCCAATCCAGAGAAAGAAACTTCAAAACATGTACACTCATGCACACATATTCATTCAGTGTTAGACACAGAACCAACTGTTTTGCAAATGCTATGTAAGTGCTTTTCCACTGTGCTATATATCCCCAGCTCATCTCCAATAGGTGCTTTAAGTTACCTTGTGAAAAGTTTGGTGAAACAGCTTGGTTGACAGCAAAGACACTGTTAGACCTTGGTGGTGTCTGTAACTGTGGTGGAGGTTGTGCAGTCATAGCAGAATTTCCAGGCAACACCACTACATTAGATTGACTGACAGTTGTTCCCAAGGCTGTTGGATCAGTCACACAGGTAGCTATCACAATGTTATTTGAATTGCCAAAAGTTGTGCTTGTGGCTGGCATCAATTGTATGTACCCTCCATCCTTGGAAACACATGGTGTAACATTGGCTGAAAAAGCAATGCCATCCTCATTCTGAGTGTTGTTTACCACAGGATCCTCAGGTTTGAGTACTAAAACATTCTGTTCCATTGAGGCTGAATCCCCTACTTCAACAGATACAATAGCACTTGTAGTTTCCTCTGAAGATAGGCATTTAACTAATTCTGAATTTTTGGCAGGAGATTTAGGAGATGAGAGAATAATTGTTGGCAAGTTTTCTCCACTGATACTAGATACAGCACTGTTAAGTTCTGCATCTGAGGAGACAAATGGGTCATCACTAATGATAATTTTGAGAGAGACAATACTTGATGCATCTACCTCTGTTAAGTTACTGCTAGGTTTATCATCAGTATTCTGGGACTCTTGAGAACTTCCCACTGAACCACCAGATTCCAAAGGAATTGAGTGCTTATTTTTTACAGGATTACCTTCTCCAGGTATCAGTGCAACTTCTTCACAGCTATTATTTCCACCTAAAGAGAGAAAAATAGTATCTCCATTTTCCTTTACAGAAGATGAAGAGTCTTTTGAGTCCGAAGTAACTTTCTCAGATTTACATGGCTCAGTTTTGTTTCCTGTATGATTTAACTCCACAGATGTCAAATTATTAGATGGTTGTTTAATGGAAGGGACTGAATCTTCAAGATGAATTTCCGTTTCTTCAGATGCATTTAAACCTAAAGTTTCAACAGTCACAGGTAACGTTTTACTTTGAAGTAAAGGGTTATTTTGGCAATCTGGTGGTGGTTGTGCTGCAACTGGTGACACACTATCAATTTCAATTTTACTGTGGGGAGTTTCACTAGAATGTGGTGACTTCGAACCATGGGAATTAGTTTTGGCTTTTACTATATTGTTAGAATTTTCACAAAATTGACTCTTAGGTGGCTTTCCAGTTAATGGAGAACTTTGGGATGAAAGGTGAGAATTTTTCCCAGAAAGAATTAAGTTTTCATTGTTAGTTTCACTATCAAGTGACAAAAATGAAGTTACTGGTCTATCAGGCTGTAACTGAGACTGATTTAGTGTATCTGGAGATGAAGAATTCTTTTCAACCTCGAGAGCCATTTCAGTTTCAGCGGGCAACTGACTGGTGTATAACTCAGCACAATGTTCATTACATTCAACAGAGTTCCCTCTTTGGTTAAAGTCACTCAAATTAGACACAGACTCAAAAGTAATGTCAAGATTACACCTCTGTTCCGTAGGTACAGCTGTTTTAAAGGCTTTTTTCTGAATGTTAGAGCTTATTTGAGAAAAGTTTTCCTGAGATTCTGGTGGAAGCACATCATGGTTGCTGCTATTCTTCAAATCACTTAGTACATCTTCATTTTGATAGGAAGTACAAAATGGAGGCTGACCAGATTGACCATCTGTAAAATACCAGTATGATGGAAAGTTACAGTCAGTGTGCTTAACTTCTGAAGCAGTCATTTTTACTGTTCAACCTACTTTGCCATGTAAATACTTATCTTTTGGCATAGCAGTAAGTTTAAGTCTGATACACTGTCAGTTTCCATTCTCAAGTATATATATATAAATCTATGTTTACTTTCTAATTGTTGATGCCACAGCAAACAAACGCCAAATTGTTTCCCAAGTTTCTTGAGAAATAGATACCACAAAGAAGGAAAAAATAGACATGTTTAAGTACATCTAATACTTACTAGGTCAAAAACCAAAAACTGGCTCCTCATGTAATAGTAGTATTTTTCTACCTTGACTTTTATGAGTCTTTCTGCCTAGATACATAGATTTTCCAGTTTTTCCATTTTACTGACCTTATTTCATCAACACATTTTTAAAAAAAGAAATTATTTTTTATTTTTATGAGTATTATGCCTGCATGTATATAAGTTTAACCATGCCATGCAGTGCCCTAAGAGGCCAGAAGAGGGTGTCAAATCCCCTGGAACTGGAGTTATGGACGGCTGCCAGCAGCCATGCTGGGTGCTGGGATTTGAACTCAGGTCTTCTGCAAGAGCAGTCAGTGCTCTTAGCCACCGAGCCATCTCTCCAGTCCCTACACCTGATAATGAGATCAAGATCATTTTTCATGATTAACATTTGATTTCTGTGTGTACTTAGATCCAACTGCCTCTGCCTCCCAAGTGCTGGGACTACAGGTGTGCGCCACCACGCCCGGCTTCTGTGTGTACTTTTAAAAACATTTAACATATTTACTGAGGACCAATCGTATGCATGGTTCTGGAATCCAAATATGAATAATCCAATCTCTGATCTTAAAGATTAAGATAACTAGGGAAACAAGAAAATTATAAAAGCATTTGCAATTCAGACAATTTATCTGAACTAATATGGAAAGAAATAATCGGGAAAAACTAAAAAAATGTCTACCAACTATCATAACTAGTCAAATGAAAACTGAGTAGAGACCAGTGAAATCTATATTAAGGGAGACAATAGAGGATATTATGTTAGGTCACATAAATATAGAGGAAGTAATATTAACAAAATACTGCCTTGCTAGAGATTGAACTGAGGTCATGCATATAGAGTTTGAACTGAAATTAATCATGTAGAGACTGAACTCAGGTCATGCTACCACTCACTCAAATTCTCAGCCTGGAAGTGGTTTCTTAATCAGATGACAAGACTTTCTTAGAAAGCAAAATTTCAAGTTTTATTTTGTTTATGGTGAAGCTTAACGTGAACCACAATCTTGTAAATATACATACCACCGCCCCCCACCCGAGTTCAGCCTAAGAAATGGAGGATTGAGCTTGGGTGTTCACGAATTCAAAGAGGCTACAAAACTAGTTTTTGTATATAAGGTGTAAACAATTGGAAGCCATTAGGCATTTTAAGATAAAACTAACAACAGTAAGTAGAAATAATGATCAGGCTTAACTGACTAAATGAATTACACGGTACTGAAAAGGCATAGTTTAGGAGAGTCATGAGAAGCCAAGATCATAGTCATCTCTGAGCAGAGATGTGGGAAGCAGAGACTACACAGGGTATTATCAGGAAAGTTTTTTGTGGTACTGGCAATATTTCACTCTTTTCACTTGAGAAATGTTTTCATGTGCACTTTTTGGACTTGATTTCATAATTGAGTTATACATTTTCATTATCTACTTCTATATATTTATGTTAGTTTACAGTAAAATTTCTTTTAAAATATTTATTTTTAAACTATATGTCTGTGTGTGGATATGCCATGTGCACATGGATGCTCATGAGGTGAGAAGATGATGTTGGCTCTCTTGGAGCTGGAGTTACAGGCTATTGTGAGCTGCCTAATGTGGGTGCTGTGAAACAAACGAGTCCTCTGTAAGAACAGTACATGCTATTAACTGCTGAGCCATCTCTCCAGCCCTGAGTTCTTTTAAAATTTGGCTGGGTGTGGTGACGCACGTCTTTAATCCCAGCACTTGGGAGGGAGAGGCAGGCGGATCTTTGAGAGTTTGAGGCCAGCCTGGTCTACACAGTGAGTTCCAGGACAGCTGGGGCTACAGGGAGACCCTGTCTCAAAAAGACCAAAACCAAAACCAAAACCAAAACAACAACAAAAAAAATGGCATACACTTTAAAATACTATTTAGTGATAAACTGCTCATGTGTACTACTCTATAGGAGTATGAAAATTTAACTTTTTAATCAAAGTGCTAAAGACTTGGGAGCAATTTTTCTTTTAGAGAGGAAATTATAAATATAAAAATGACCTATATAGTAATTTGAAAAGTTTCCAATTTAGGCAGTATGTTCTGATTCTGAATTGAGACTAATATTAACATTTTGATCGATGACATTAACAAAATCAAATTCTTACCAGATTCTTCTGTTTCAAAAGAACTTTTAATTGCTAGATTAGTTTCTTCAGCTAAGACTATATTAGGATTGGTTTCCATATGTTGACTAGAAATGCTTTGTGATATATTTTTATTATTCTTTGTTTTACCTGTTAAAAAGAGAACAGGGAAATAATTAAATGACCAAACTAAAATCAAGCATGTTTAATCATGTTTTTTGCTGATTTTTCTGAGACAGAGTCTCATGTAGCCCAGGCTGACCATGAACTATGTAAGTCCCATGTGCTGAGGATTATGTGTGTGCCCGGCACTTTTTTTTTAAAGTTTTTAGGGGGCTGGAGAGATGGTTCAGTAGTTAAGAACACTGAATGTTCCTGCAGAAGACCTGAGTTCAAATCCCAGCACCCACATGGCAGCTAGCAACTGTCTATAACTTCAGTTCCAGGATCCGACGGTCTCTTCTGTCCTCCGCGGGCATTGCATGACACTGGTACACTTACATACATGCAGGCAATACACGCATACACATAAAAAAAATAAATTTTTTTTTTAACATGTTGCTTTATATGTCATTTACATCTATAGATATTAGGATTTCCTCACCATACTGTTTCTTTTTTAGGAGTTTTTATACTATGTTGCCTTAGGCTGGTTCCAAATTTACTGGTTCAAGCAATTCTCTTGCCTCAACCTCCTGAATGCTGGGACAATGCACATGTCATGGTACCTGGCTAGAACTAGAGGTTCTTTTTATGAGGATATTCTAGAAGGTCCAAGAATCTGCACATTTAACAAGTTCTCTGATAAATTAGATTCTATGATTGACAGCATGCTGAGAATTTTGCATTCCTTCTGGGTCACTCAATTATATTTATCTGTACTAAAATAGACCTTAACAAAGTTGATTCAGCATGTTGACTGGCCAAAATGTTCACAAACACCAAAAAACAAAACAAAACAAAACAAAAAAACAAAACCAATTCTCCATTTTTTATAGCTGAACTTTCCTAAATTAAAGAATAAAAACCCAAAGATACTCCTCTGGCTTTGCTCCATGTCCATACACTGTTTGCCTTAATGAAATAGGAACTTTTTCAGAAGATTGGGGTGATGTTACTTTATTCAGGGTAAATTACCAAAGAGACTGGAGAAAATTTTCTTCACCTTCCTAGAATAAATGGTCTTTCTTACCATAATCAAAGAGATCAAAGAGTGCCTGAAATGCTGGGTCTGATTCTGTCTGTTCCAATATATCTTGTATTGCTTCTTCAGACATATGGATTTCACTCTGTAAAATAAGAATGAAGGCATGATACTAATAGATCAATACAGTTTTAATACCAGAAAAATAATTAGTATTCAACGTATTTTACTTTTTACATATGTATAAGTATTTCTTTATAAGTAAATTTCTTGTGAGCATTAACTATATGCTTATTTAAAAAGAAAGTTAGACTTCTGTTAGGGGGATTAGAAGCTGCCTGCCTCTATGCGATTCAGTAAATGAGAAGTCAGCATAACAAAGATCAAACTTTACTCTAGAAAGATTGTGGAAGAACATCTGGAATCACAGAGGGGTGACAGGACAGCTTCAAAGTGTGAAGAAACAGGTGGTGATACAGCAAAGAGTACATAGCACATAGCTCCAGCTGCAAGGCACCTGGTTGGGACAAGAAACAGATGTCTCACCCAAAATCTATGCCAGGAAGCAGGAGTGAAAAAGACTGGGTGCCCTACCTACAAGAGATACCCACAGTTCTTCCAACTCTCAAATTCAGTTGGGGGTTTTGAATTCAGTTGGGAGTTTTGGTGAGGTAGTGACTCCTCCATTGTGATAGGCCAACAGTAAAGAGGAGGTTCATTTTGTCTTAGAGGGTTGTAAATGGGCACCTTCTTGACAGGAATCCTACCAAGATCTAGCTAACCTAGGGGCCTAAGAACAAGGGATAAACAAGTTAGGGAGCTTGGAATCAACCTGCCAGAGCTGTAATGAGAGACAGTTGTGGAGATGGGAAGGCCTGGATGTAGAAGTAATGAAAAGTTCAAGTGGTGGGCTTAGGCAGTGAAGGAGGAAGTGGGTGATAGTCTTGTTCTCTGTGGCTTGGTAAGCCCATCACCGAGGATAATTGCAGATCTTGTTAGCCCTGAGCCTGAGGTCAGTGAGTAGATCACAGGAACTGCCTAACTGCTATAAGATTCATTGTAGGGACTGAGAAGTTTGGAGGTCCAGTGGATTACTTCATATCTATCTTTAGCCACATCCCTTTAGCAGGATATTTAATGCTGACAGGGTTTTCAAATTCTGGAGGCTGGTATGCCTATATATATCTTAGTGCTGTGTTTGCTTTCCTACTTCCAACAGACGCCAAGACACCTGACGGATAAAACACTGGCCATTCCAGGGTATATGAACTGCAGTCGAGTAGAATGGGTGAATGTAACCAGCCTATAGCTTGCAAAGCAGAGAAGCTACTAAAATAAAAACAGCGGCTAGGTACTAGCCTAAATTGAAGGAAACAGAAGTGTTCAAGAGACTCTTACCCTCTACCTTTAACCTGGCAGACATCAATTTTAGAGTTCCTATAAGAAGTTGCTCCAATACTTCAAGAAAGGATTTTTTTTTCCTTTTGTGTTTCCTTTTTTCGTCTTTTTGAGATAGGGTTTTCTGTAGCTCCAACAGGCCTGGAACTCACTGTGTAGATGAGGTCAGCCTCAATTTTACAGCCATCTACCTACCTGTCTCCTGAGTGCTGAAATTAAAGGCATGCAGTACCACACTGGCCCCTTTATTTTTTTTTACTACACTTTTAGTAGTATTTCAACTCAAAAAAGCCTTTTTTTTTTATATATATATTTCATTCTACTTCTTACATTTATCTGATTTTGTTCATGCTTTTTTTTTTTTTTTCTTTCTGAAACAGGGTCTCCCTGTAGCCCCAGCTGTCCTGGAACTCACTATGTAGACCAGGCTGGCCTTGAACTCAGAGATCCACCCGCCTCTGCCTCCTGAGTGCTGGGATTAAAGGTGTGTGCCACCATGCCTGGCTTATGATTTTTTTTTTATTGGTCAACAGGTTACGATTGTTTTTTTTTTTCCTTCCTTTCTGTAACACCTTCTACATTCTTTGATTTAACTGTTCTTTTCTCCCTTGCCCTGACCATTTCCATTTATTTTTTTCTATATTTAACCATCATTAATTTTTAAAAAATATTCATTATTTTTATTTTATGTGTATGAGTGCATTGCCTGCATGTGTATAACTGCACCCGTGTCATGCAATGCCCACGGAGGTCAGAAGGCATCAGATTCCCTTGGAACTGGAGTACATTGTTAGCCAACATGTGGGTGCTGGGAATTGAACCTGGGTCCTCTGTAAGTGCAGTTAATGCTCTTAACCGCTGAGCCATCTCTCCAGCCCCAGCATTACTAATTTTTAACTTTGTTCTATAGTCATTGATAATATACTAGTTAGCTTTAACAGATTTTAATAGATTTAATACTAGACGTATTTCCACATCTAGTTTGATTTGGTGTTGCTGTAATTATTTTCTCTTCTTTGAGTGGTAGGTACTAGGGAATGGAGCCCTTAAACAAAGAACCATCTCAAAACTAGAAAAGAGATCAAAATGAAGAGATTACACAAATAACAAAGACACTCAGGAAACTTGAAAAAGCAAAGCATCATGCCATCACCAAGAGAGAACTCTACAATCAATGACTACAAAGACCCTGAGATGGTTAAAATGAAGGAAAAAGAGTTCAAAAGTCTATTTCATAAATTAACCAATGACTTCAAAGAGAAAATAAACCAAGTAAAGAATTCAACCCAGGAAACGGATATAGTCAGCAATACACTACAGTAAGTCAACAACAATGACAAGAAATTCAATAAGGAAACAGATCTTGGAAAAAACCCTGAATTTTGCAAGTGTAAGTTTATTAATCAAAAAAGCATAAGACACAAGGATAAAAATGAGTATCAGAGAAGGAAACTGGTAACTAAGACTGAGAAAACACACATTTAGACATTTAGGATCATCTTGTTCATTTTGTTAAAGACATATGATGAATCCAAGTAATATTTAACACAGTATTTTACTATATCTTTAAATTACTATACAGTTCATAGCAATATAGAAGAAACACAATACTATGTAGTACTGCTGTTTATTATTACATTTGGGTGATGAAGGACTATTATAAACTGGATTTTATACAACTAATTTTTTGAAATGAAACCAAAATGCCATTAGTTTTAACTGTATGTACTATACACACACCCACACACACCTATAAACATCTACCCATACCGGAAGTCCCAGGAGTTCATCAATTGAAGTTTCTGGCTCTGTAGGGTTGCTATCTGTTTGCTTAGGTACTTGAGCAATACTATTGTCACTGTAATACAGAAAAAAATATTCTTTAGCATAGTTAGATGATTAGGCAAAAACAATTAAGAGATTATATATATATATATAGCTCACCTCGTCAAAAATTTATTAATGTTTTCTGCAAGCTTTTCTTGAAGGGACTTGTTGCTTAATATTTTTTCTCGTGCATTTTCAATAACCATTTGCTGAAAGAGAAAAATTAAAATTAGTATTACAATAATCCAAACAAAGCCAATGTTTACAGTCTCGGCTACTTGGCAGGTTGAGGTAGGATTATTACTTCAGGTCAGGAGTTTGATGTCAGTCTGGGCAACATAGCAAGACCTCCTCTGTAATTAAATAAAGGATGAAAAACAAACACACACCACAAAAAGCAATCAATGGCAACTGAACTTAACCCTAAGTGAAAACTCACAAGTTCTAGTACCTCCTTCCATAGTAATACCTGACATAGATAGCACTTTATAATTCAGGAATGATGTCACAAGTTTTTGACCAACTTTTTTCAGATGCTTACAGAATGCAATTCTAGATTTTTTTTTTTTGGTCTTTTTGAGACAGGGTCTCCCTGTAGCCCCAGCTGGCCTGGAACTTGCTATGCAGACCAGGCTGGCCTTGAACTCACAGAGATCTGCCTGCCTCTGCCTCCTGAGTGCTGGAAATAAAGGTGTGCACCAGTATACCCGGCTTCAATTCTAGACTTTTTAGTTTGTCATACAAGGTTTTTAAATAATCTGATCCTGAAATGCCCAAGTGCACTGCATGATACACCATTAATAAGAATTTAGTTTCCTCAATGTACCAATATTTCTTATTTGGTGCATTTGCCATGCGTGTATTCAGTATGCACTACTTTCTACAGTTAAGATTCCTTATCCCTAGGCAAGGTCATTCTGCTGCCCTCATATTCATACCAAACACAAAAGCATGCACATAATTATTATACAAACATTAGCATCCTTAAATTCGGGAGTGTTTCAAGTTGCAATGTTTGGAATGGTCACTTACTTTTTCTACTGCAAATGCATTTGGATCCTGCAAATTCCTTATTGATGAATGAGGTCCAGATGAAGTACCAGTCTTCTTTTGTGAGTCACTGAAATACAAAAGCTTCTCTTAACATTATGTCTAACAGATTAACAATACAAATTTTTTTAATACTTTAAAAAATTTTTATTAATTTTTTTTAATGTGTATGCATGTATTGCCTGTATGTAGGTAAGTGCACCCATGCTGTGCAATGCCCTCGGAGGTCAGAAGAGGCTGTTGGATTCTCTGGGACTGGAGTTACGGACAGTTGTTAGCTGCCATGTAGGTGCTGGGATTTTAACCTGGGTCTTCTGCAAGAACAACTAGTGCTCTTAACCGCTGAGTCATCTCTCCAGCCCCATATTACAATTTTAAGATCATCATGGTAGAAGACATAAAATTTTGTGGTTTTTTTGGCATAAGAACCAAGTGAGGGGGCTGGAGAGATGGCTAAGTGGTTAAGAGAGCACTGGCTACTCTTACAGAGGACACAGGTTCAGTTCCCAGACACCCATATAACAAGTATCCATAACTCCAGTTCCTAGGGATCCGATACTTTCTTCTGATCTTTTAAATACTAAATATTTAAAAGAAAAGAACCAAGTCAGAACAACATAAAAAAGCACTACCAGACTTGGACCCAGAAGAAATGAATTTGAGGCTTTTTTCATATTTTATCATTTCTATTTTATGTCTTACCTGCATGTGTGTAACAGCACCCATGTCCTGTGATGCCCAAGGAGGTGAGAAGAGGGCATTGGATGCCCTGGAACTGGAGTTAAGGACAGCTGATAGCCGCCATATGGGTGCTGGGAACCAAACTCGATCCTCTGCAAGAGGATCTAGGATCTAGTGCTCTTAACCACTGAGTCATCACTCCAGCCCCTTGAAGACCATTTTCTTTCTTTCTTTCTTTCTTTTTTTTTTTTTGGTCTTTTTGAGACAAGGTCTCCCTGTAACCCTCACTATCCTGGAACTCACTATATAGAACAGATTGGCCTCGAAGTAACAAAGATCCCCTGCTTCTGCCTTCCAAGTGCTGGGATTAAAGGTGTGTACCACCACGCCCAGCAGCTATGTGGTCTTACATATGTAAGTTCTAATACTCTTATCCATTTTTCCTTTTCTTTTTTGGGGGGGGTGTATTGGGGATCAAATCCAGAGCCTTACACTTGGTAGCCGTGTCTTCTAAAACAGAGCTACATCCCTAGTACCTCTGAATCAATTTATGATGAAATGAGACCAACTGCATTAGTAGGTTTATGGAAGAATAAAGTCTATACAGATCTTTTAATAAGGCCAACCTTTTTGAAAATGTTACTGATATTGTTTTACTATTTTATATGGCTAAGCCAGAAAGCTTGGAATGAAGCTTTTATTTAAAGGAAGCTTATAACAAAGTCAGCCTTGACTTAGAGAACATTCACAGTAAGAACTCTAATTAAAAAAATCCTATTGGTTAACAGATGAGAAATCAGATAAAAACCTTTTAAAACTGATCTCTCTGACATAGTTTTCAAAGAAATACAGGCTAACTAGGAAAGAAAAAAAGTCTTGGAAAACTGTATTTGAAAACATTCTATCAAACAATTTAAACTTGAGTGTTTGTGAACCATAAAACTTACTAATATTGGGCTGGAGAGAGAGCTCAGTGGTTAAGGGCACTGCCTACTCTTGCAGAGGACCCAAGTTCGATTCCCAGCTTGACATCGTGGCTAAAAACCGTCTGTAACTCCAGTTCCAGGGGATCCAACACTTTCTTCTGACCTCCACAGGCATTGCATGACATAGGAGCACTTACACACATGTAGGCAATTCACTCATACATAAAATAAAAATAAATTAGAAAAAACTTACTAATATAATTTATATTTACAAACATTCCCCAAAATTAAGATAACATCATTTGTAAGATACACCATTATTCTGCACACCACTATAAAAACTGTAAAAGATATGCCACACACTGAGGATGTAACTCAAATTTAATCAGGTCAGAATACTGGAAAAGATAATGTATTTTGGAATGAATGTGTGTCAAGAACTTAATCTAGCCTTGCTACTTTATTCATAATATAAATACCTCACTATAATTCTTTTTTTTGTTCATCGTAAATGAGTACCAGCATTGTGTCTGTGATAAAAAGCATTTACCTTTTACGTCTACCAGGAGACATTAGACTGGTATGTGTTTTCCTTTCCTGAGGGCCAGGAATGATATTTAAAGCCTCAGTAGCTGTATGTTAAGAAAACAAACAGTAAGTCAAAGGAACTGAAAAGGTTTTAAAATTTGTAATGGGATGAGAAACATTAATGACTGTTATTTATTTATTTTTTGGTCTTTTTGAGGCAGGGTCTCCCTGTAGCCCCAGCTGACCTGGAACTCACTACGTAGACCAGGCTGGCCTTGGACTCACAGAGATCTGCCTGTCTTTGCCTCCCCAGTACTGGGATTAAAGGTGTGTGCCACCACACCCAGCAGTGACTGTTATATTAAATTCAGCAAACATTTTCCCCCCCTGGAGCCAAGGGCCTTTCACTTGCTAGGTAAGTGCTCTACCACTGAGCTAAATCCCCAACCCCTCAGCAAACATTTATTAAGTGCTTACTATAAGCAAGGCATTGTATATTATGACTAATGCAATATAGTTCCTATACCTTAAGGTTTTCACAAAGATACAAAATACAGTTTCAACAACAAATATAATGTAACACACCAAGAAGAAAGTGCAAAAAGCATAAACTAAACGCTTTGGGTATAGAAAAGTATTTGGAAATGGTAACAAGGGGGCACTTAATGGAAGTAATAATTTGTAGTTGTACAAAGCCTCAACTCAAAACTGAGAGAGATGTTCCTTGAATTCTAATCCAATGCAACTACTAATTCTCTCCCTCACTCTATTCTTTTCACTATGCAGCAAATATGCATACAATAAGCAAGACATAGCGCAGGATTACTAAGTGTATTTCCAATACAGAAATATACAGAATTTCCAATGCATAAAGGTTGTAGAGTATTGTAAAGATATTCTAGGAAGATAGACTGGCATGAATAAGGTAAAGAGGTAATTAAATATGTATATTCTGTTTAAAACCACAACAGGGTCTCTTGTATTAATACCCCAAATTAAAAATTGTAAGGTTCAAGCTAGGACTTCAGTTAGATTAGAAATAGGAAGAACGGTTGACTTTGGTTACAAAGACTCCTAGATTCCATGTCTGGGATTTTATTTGTTTATTTGTAGGCAGGCTCTCATATAGAGGATGACCTTGAAATTTCTGATCCTTCTGAGTGCTAGGATTACAGATGTGTACAACCATGCCCAGTTTTATGTGATAATGAGATAGAACCCAGAGTTTTGTGCTTATTTTGTGGCAAAGCTACTTTCTAGGTTCTCTCAACTCTTCCTTTTGTTCAGAGTTCTGTTCTATGGGTATGAAGACATTGCACTTGGGTTAGCAAAACTTAAAACTTAAACTTACTAGTTATATTATTTTGTGACTGTGACTGGTTGACTACTACAATATTTGACCTCAATGGGGTTGAAATTTGGCCTGTTGGTTTAACAGCCTGTGTAGCTTGTGTAGCTATCAAAGGAGAAGCGGTAAATTGTCCTGAACCACAAGGCAAGACCAGTAATTCTGAACTGACGGGAGCTGCTTGAGATGCAAGCCATCGCTGTCGCTTGATTTCTGCAATTCCATTTCTTGTTCGGGCTGCAACACATGTACATACAAAATGTCAGAGTAGTTTCAGAATCTGAACAAGTCATTATGATGCCCTATGTACCATATAACATATTTACCTACAGACTAAAAGAGAGTCCTTAAAGGGTAGAGGAGGAAAAAAAAAAAAAAATCAAATAATTTTATGTAATAATTTCTTGAGAAATAAACTAAAATGAATACATTAAAACTTTACAAATCCTAAAGTAGATTTGTTCTGTAACAGCTCATACAGATAACATTCCTCCAAAATTAAGATACTCAAAATTGTAGAATGAATGAAGACTCTACTACTTGAACCAAGAGGAAAACATAGGACATATTCAATGTATATAGAAATTTCCATGCATATACATATACATGAGCATTATATGTATGGTTTTTTACTATGTTATTTTATATTACTAGGAATCAAAGCCAGGACCCTGTGCATTATGAACACTTTACCACTAAGCTATACCCCCCATATGTATATAATGAAAATATCTAATGACTGTACTTAGAAAAAAGTTAAAACAAAAATATATACCTAGCACACGTATTTTTAACTAAAACGTTCAGTTTGAAGTAATTCTGGACATGGTATAAAGCTGAATACCAACCTCTCTGATGGGCAGCAAACCCTGTGGAACTTTGCATGCTCCTAACAAATAAAACAAAGCAGTCATTCATTAAATATTGCTTTTTAGCTGAGACATACTCTACCTTAATTACAGTAGGACTCAAAGTACATTATGACTTCAAAAGTGATAGCTCTCTCTTAGATAGAGCCTACCTACATGTTTACTTAGTTGCAGGTATACAACTGTGAACTGTTTTATTTATTTTTGAGACAGGGTCTCCCTATAGTACCAGCTGCCTGCAACTCAGAGATCTGCCTGCCTCTGCTTCCTGAGTGCTGGGACTAAAGATGTGCACCACCACATCCAGTTCAACTGTGAACTGTTTTAGAAGACACTCATACAACACAATTTACATGAAAAATTTCTATTCAATTCGATACGCTCTACTAGAGTGCTTCAACATTATAGCTTGACTTGATTTTAGGAACTGCACATATTTAAAGTAAACCATATACAATATTTTTAATATACATGAGTGCTTTAGAATCCCCAAAAGTTCATTCAGTTCACATCCTACTTTTATCAAATTTATGACTGTAATTATCCACTTATTTGGTAAGCCACCAGACACTGTGTCCTCACCCAACAAAATGTCAAACCTTCATCAAGACCCAAAAAACCAAACTAAATAAGCATTTTTAATAATGCACCTAACAACTTGAGAAAACTTACATAAGATCAATATTATTTTATTTAGTTACTTTTAGTTTATGTGTATGAGTGTTTTCTTGCATATATGTTAAGTTCACCTGTACATGCAATGCCTGCCAAAGCCAGAAGAGAATGAACAATACCCTGAAATTGAGTTATGGATGTTTGTTTGCTACCATGTGTGGGTGCTGGGAACTGAAACCAGGTGTTGTGCAAAAGCAGCTAGTGCTCTTAACTGCTGAAACATTTCTGTAGGCCCTCAACCTTATTCTTATGTGATAGCTTATCAATAAAATATCTCAATTATTTATAAGTACTGATTTGTAAGTCTTTTATTTTTTGGTGTGTGTGTGGTGTATTTTGTGTATACAGTACATACTTGTTAGTGTAGGTATGTAATTGTGTGGGTGCGAGCCTGTGTTGAGGCCAAGGTACCTTTCCTTGATCGCTCTTCACCTTTATTATTTGAGATAGGGTCTCTCACTTAATCTGAAACTCACTGATTTGGCTAGGCTGGCCAATGACCTTTAGGTATCAACCCGTCTCTGGGCACCTACAAGCCAATGCTGACTTACAGGCAAGTACAGCTATGTACAATTTTAAACATGGGTTCTAGGCATACAAACTCAGATCCTCGTGCTTGTGCAAAAGGCAATTTTACCAACCAAGTCATTTCCCCAGCCCCGTAACAGTCTTTTTTTAAAAAAAAAAATAAAAAAGGGGAAAATTTTAATTTTTATTATATGTATGGGTATGTTTGTGTTGGGGTGTGTGTATATGAGTACAGGTCACTTTAGAGGCCAGAAGTGCCAGAACCCATGGAGTTGCAGTTATAGATAGTTGTAATCCACTAATGTAGGTGATAAGCGCAACAGAAGCTTTTAGCTGGTGAGCCATCTCTCCAGGCTCCTGTAAAAAGTCTTTGAAGATTATTTCCAAGAGCAGAACATGAGGATCTCTGTGAGGTCGAGGCCAGCCTGGTCTACATAGGGAGTTCCAGGCCAGCTAGGGCTACAAGGAGACCTTGCCTCAAAACCTACCAAAAAAAAAACAAAAAAAACCAAAAAAAAACCCAGTAAGTAAGATGTGGTCCAGAGGTGGGATGAAAAGCATTTGGAGCCACTTTAGTAGCTTAATTAGAGAATAAAAATGAGGCCTCTGCTGAAGTTAGATGTAGCATTTAGAGGAAAGGTTTTTGTTGAGACTCTACCATCAAATAAGATATCATTAAATTGGTACCAGTAGGGCTAGCATTGTTCCAAGGATGCTGAAACTGGAATTCCAAGGCTATAAACTAGGTAGAAGGAAGATATCAGTACCATAAGTCTAAAAATAAAAAATAACAGAAGGAAAGAAATAATTGGACAAGGATTCAACATAATTCTATGCATACATAATGAAGACACAGTTGTCTAAGGAAATTTACATCTGGTCTAGCTATTTAAAAGTTGGGAATAGGGGCTGGAGAGATGGCTCAGCGATTAAGAGCACTGGCTGCTCTTGCAGAGGACCCAGGTTTGAGTCCCAGTGCTCACTAACAACCATCTGTAACTCCAGTTCCAGGTGATCTAACACCCTATTCTGACCTCTGTGGGCACTGAAGGACATGGCTGCACTTAAAGACATGCAGATATACACATAAAACAATAAAATATTTAAAAATAATAAAAAATAAAATATTTTCATTATTTCAGTATCTCACAATTTCTTCATTTGTAATCATTTATTAAAGTATTCACTTGTTCCAAATTATTCCGATTAAAGATAGACACCACTATCCTCTAGAACAACTTCAAAATCAGATGGGTGTTATATAATATTAAGTAGATATTAAGAAGTTTTATACCCGAAGTGTGTGTGCATTCCTAAATCATTAGCACATTTTAATGAGTTCATACCTGATCTGAGAAAGTGTGTGATCTAGCTTCTTCCACAGAGACGACATTATTGTTGGGACATCATTTGATGTTTCTAAATCAAAACAGGAAATAAACCAAGCTGAAGAAAATTCATTTTTCAATTTAAACAAAGACATAGAAAATAAAACAACAAATGCATTTTCTCTCACTTGCTGACATTATTTTTAAGAAATGAGCTGATTTGTAAAATGGCCTGCGAAGTTTCATTAATGAGGTTACGCTGTTTTCTTGAACCATAGGGAATCAGATACAATAAGTGAAAAAGAATTTCATATTTATTTGTTCCAATTTTCTTCAATGATTTTTAATGCTAATAATTTCATATCTTCCTTGTATTAAAAAGGGAAACTATAATATGATAAAGGTAAAGCTACTTTCCTTTTACCATTACTTCATGTAATTGATTTAATGGTAATAACTTGATAATGTTATAAGCTACAGAAACAATCAGTGTTAGAGAACAATTAGTATTTTCCCTTTGAATCATGTATTATTTTATGTTCTGTTAACTACAAACCAGACTGAATCCTGTGCCTAAAATTAGACTGTCAGTTGAAAACCTTTAACACATAACAATGGTTATAAATAAAGTAGAGGTAAGAGTTTCATATCACTTTTTTTTTTTTTTTGGGGTCTTTTTGAGACAGGGTCTCCCTGTAGCCCCAGCTGTCTTGAACTCACAGAGATTGGCCTGCCTCTGCCTGGGATTAAAGGCGTGTGCCACCACCATGCCTGGCAAATTTCATATCATTTAAAAATATGAGTTTTGGTTCATGTCTGTTAGCATTTGGAGTTTTAAAACTTATGCTTTTTTTGAAATGGTCTCCCTGTAGCCCCAGCTGGCCTCAAACTCACAGAGATCTGCTTGCCCCTGCCTCCCAAGTGCTGGGACTACAGGTGTGTGCCACCATGCCCAGCTAAAACTTATGTTTTATTCAATATGGGCACAAATGAATTCTGCTTCCCAGGAAAATTTATTTCATTAGAATTAGATAAAGCTTTTTCACGGCTTTTATGAAACAGTATGTTGAAATAAAAAAAATCAAGTTGTTACCTTTTGCTTTCATAGCTACATATTCGTTTAAAATTGTTGTCAAGTTTTTTCCAAATAAGGACTGAAAAGAGAAAGATTAAACATTACCAAAACCATAGAATACTATCAATTTCTGAAAACCAAACAGCCCAATCATTTAAGATAACAGAAGAGGTGGTGATGAAAGGGTAAAGAAGCAGGTAACCAAAAGTAAAAACATTCACTCATTATGTGTAGCAAGTTTTCTGAGAGTAAAGAACTCTGCCTGTTTTAGCTGTGACTCCGTGTTTCCTTAGATGAAAGAGAAAACATGGTCACAAAGTAGATTTCAGTTGGGAGATAGGTATCTTAGTTACAGTTTGAGAAACAGAAGGGACCCAGGTCTATTCTGTTCTGGCTTTCTGGAAAGTGATGCAAACATGCTGAAGAATGAAGTAAAAAAAAAAAAAAATGTGTTGAGATATTCTTCCTAAGGAGCAAGTCCACCTCTACTCTTATTTCTGTCATCTCATCAACCTACCTATATATCTCTACTATTCCACTACTCCAACTCAAGGGGAGTCTTTTATAACTTCAAGTCTTAGATTACAGAATAGGAACAAGCAAAGTGTTCAGAACCAACAGTCCTGGTTTCAAAATCAACATAATGTTATGTGATAAATATTTAATTTTCCAAGGCTTACAACAGATAACACTAATTCACAGACTCTTCTTCTGTGAAGACTGAAGACATATATAATAAGCTAAGGACAATGCCTGACACATAAAAGGCAATTAGCTGCTTTCCCCCCTGAACTTTAAACACTAGATTTCTTTTTTTAAACTTATTTTTAATTTTTATAACAAGAATCTTATTATGTATACCAGGCTGGTCTTGGAATTGCAGTATTCCTGCCTTGGCTTCTTAAGTACTGGTATTAAAGGCATGTGGTAAAGGCCTGTAATCCTAGCTACAAGGAAGAAGGGAGGTTTGCAAATTCAAGTCTTAACTGGGCTACAGAGTGAGTTCAAGACTGATCTGGGCAACATAGGGAGATTCCAACTCAACAGAAAAAGTAAAAACAGTGATGGGAATACAGGTTGGGGTAGAGTGCCTGCCTAGCTTAAAGCCCTTTTTTCCTACTAATTAATTTTAATAAGTAATCAGTAACTAATAATTGCTGAATGATTGACGAAATGAATCCTCTCTGAATAAGAACCCTTTATCATCTCCACTGTTGTGCAATTTTTAACCATGAAATCCCTGACAGACAACAGCAATTCCTTCATTCTGGTATCAAAGGCAGAAGTATAAATGAATAGTCAAATTATGGATGCAATTTAAGTTTTCAGTTTACTTACCTAAAAATATGGGACATAAGTACCTACCTTATGTAGTTTGTAAGCTTGTTTATCAAGATTTTTGTTCTAAAATAATTTTACAATCTAATGTTGAACTCTAAGGATATTTCAGAGTTCCAATAGACTTCTCTGAGCATCCTGCAATGCTTACATCCTACATAACTGTTATACTTTTATCAACACTAAGAAATACCATCAGCACAATACTATTTAGTATACAGCAAGTTTACCTAGGTTTTACAAGCTTTTCACTGATAAAATGTTTTTTAGTCTCTTCCAACAGGTAAGCTTCCTAGTGTCTTTATAAATAAATCATTAAAAAAATTTTAGTTTATTATTTTTATGTGTATGAGTGTAGTGCCTGCATGTGTGTAAGCGCACCAATGTCAAGCAATGCCCACAAAGGTCAGAAGAGGGTGTCTGAACTGCAGTATCTCTGGAGTTACAGACATTTGTTAGCTGGCATTTGGGTGCTGGGAACTGAACCCAGGTCCATTTTAAGAGCAGCCATTGCTCTTAACTGCTGAGCCATCTTGCCAGCCCCATTTTTCTTTTAATATTTATCTTTATGTGCATGAGTGTTATGCCTGCTTACAAGTGCACCTGTGTCATGCAATACTCACAGAGGCCAGAAGAGGGTACTAGATCATCTGGAACTGGAGTTAGATGTTTGTTAGCCACCATGTAGGTGCTGGGAACAGATCTTGGGTGGGTCCTTTGTAAGAACAGCCAGTGCTCTTAACTGCTGAGTCATCTCTCCAGTCCCTTTTCTTTTTCTTGACACTATGAAATGTTGGTCCTCCAACTCTTTTTAAGATTTATTTTTATTTGTGTATCTTTGTTTATATATATATATATACATATGTATATTCATATGTGTGTGAATGCCTGCAGAAGCCAAAAGAGGGTGTCAGATCCCTGAGAGCTGGAGTTAAAAGGTAGTTGTGAGCCGCCAGAGCCACTGGACATGGATAATGGGAACTAAACATGTCCTCTGGAAGAACAGCAAGTACTCAACCACTGAGCCATCTCTGCAGTACCTAGTCCTCCAATTTTCAAAACTGGGATATTCCAATTATTTTTTAATATGAAAATTAAATTCTGCATGTTGCTATCTATAAATTTGTGGGGATTTTGACTGTGATCAATCTACAAGTTAAACTGGAGATACTGGACTTAATAATACAAAGTCTTTCAAATATATGATAACCATGTTGATTTGATTTATACTTTTCTTTGGTGCAGTTCTAAGCAAACACATCATACACATATTTAGTTAAGATTATCCAAGCATTCTGTTTGTTGCTATGATAAATGTGCATGTCTTTAATTCCAGCACTTGGGAGGCAGAGGCAGGCAGATCTCTGTGAGTTCAAGGCCAGCCTGGTCTATATAGTGAGTTCCAGGACAGCTGGGGCTACAGGGAGACCCTGTCTCAAAAAGACCAAAAACAAAACAAAACAAAAAAACCCAAAAAAACCTTGAAATCCCAATTGTTCACTGCACATATATAAGCATAGAATGAATCTTTCTGTATTCTGTGTCCTGTGACCTTAATCAATTCTAGTTTTGAAGATTCTTTTAGGCTATTACAAAATCCATTAATAGTTGCAATTTTCCGAAGAAGCAATCCTTAAGACAGAATTACAAACACTGGGCTAGAGAGATGGCTCAGTGGTTAAGAGCACTGACTACTCTTGAAGAGGACCTGGGTTTGATTCCCAGAACCCACATGGAGGTTAACAACTGTCCATTAACTCTAGTTCCAGGAGGATCCAATGCCTTTTTCTGACCTCCATGGGCACTGCATGACATGGGTGCACTTACATACATGCAGGCAATACACTCAATACACATACAATAAAAATAATAAAATAATAAAAAAATTACAAATACCAAGTGAAGTCATGAAATTCTAGAATATATTCATTATACCACAAATACTGCTGGGATCTAGATGGTTTATACAAAAAGAGGTGACAATAAAATATCAAAACACCTATTTTTTGTTTGTTTGCTTTTGAACACAGGGTCTTGCCCAAGCTGGTCTAAACCTCATGACCATCATCCTGCTTCAGCATCCCAAATTCTAGATTACAGGAACGTACCATCATGCCTGGCTAAATATCTATCTCTTACCTATCTGCTATAGGCAGAGATACAATAAACCATGTAGTTGTCTGTCAATTTTGACATGGCTGATAAGGTAATTTTATTTAGACAAGAGTCTAGCTATGTTGCCAAGGCTGACCCTAAACCCCGAGGATCAAATGATTCTGCTATCTTAGCCTATCAATTAAGTTGGGACAAAACACATGTGCCATTGTGCCTACTGTCATTAATGAACTGATTTTGAAGGCTGTTTAGTCTTCTGTGTGTGGAGTAATGATGAAATTTCACTTTAAAGAATAAGCAACTCACCAGTAAGCAGGCTGGGATAAAACCTTCATCAGTACAGTGTTCTGCATATTCTTTTAAATTTGAACTTTCCAAAATAAAAGTCTGGCAGGTAGATGTGAGGTTTTCTTGTTGTAAGTAACCTAAATAAAAAATAAAAGTTCGAGTACTTTCAGCAAGTTCTGTACTTTTGGTAAAGTGGCGACTTAAAATGCTAGATCAAGTATCAGTATCATAAATGGGGTCTCAGGAAAAATATGCTGAAATTCTGCAGCCTTGTACTAGGTTGTGCTGCATAATTAATACAATAACTGGTTCCTTCATAGGATCCAGTTCTAGCTAAGTTTGTGAAAAGAGATGTTTGATGAAGTGCACAGTAATGCTTACAGGAAAATCAATAAAGAAATTGTAAGTGTATTACTCTATTCCATAACTTCCATAATAAGTAGGTGAGGGGATGACATAAATTTACTTACTGGATTAAAAAAAAAAGCATTCTCTCAACATTCCTTATTTGTATGCTTCACTAACCACTTCAGAAGGAACTTCTCTACTTTTCAAATCATATCCTTCATATTCCAGGAAGAACTTCAATCTTAAGCTAACAAATAAAGGCTAAGAGGTTGTCACCTATTTAGATATATTTTAAAGCATGACTCCAAAGCCTAGGCAAAAAAATGGGAAATTTGATTACAGCATTTAAGAAAATCATTTAGAAATGATTGTAAAGAATACTATATAAATAATTACATGCCTAAAATTAAGAGCCCAGTTTCCTAAACTGTAGACTCACCCTACATGGGGGCTGTAACTGAATGTGAGTGTGAAACACTTCACCTTTATTTCCAGCGCTTGGAAGGCAAAGGCAGGTGGAGCTCTGTGAGATCCAGGCCAGCTTGGTCTATATAGTGAGTTCTAGTCCAGCTGGGGCTATAAGGAGACCCTGTCTCAAAAATAACAAAAACAAATGTGCAGCAAATTGAAGGTCTCTCTGGCAGTGCCTGCCTATGTTGCACTGTACAACTTAGCCGCAGACTTGGTTTTGTACATACAATGTGAACTCTCTGCATGTTGATTTACATATTTTATGTACTTTATATCTGGGATTGTATAAAATTTCTTGGGCAATAGGGGATCATGAGTGGAAAACAATTAAGAAGACTTTACCTAGAGAACTTAGATGAAATGAACAATTCCTAGAAATATACAAACAACAGAACCGACCCAAGATACTACAGAAAAGACCTATAACAATTAAAACCAGTAACTGCTTACAAAGAAAAGCCCATGGCTTCATTAGTGAATTCTACTAAACACTGGAAGAAGAGTTCAAATCAATGATTTGGAAATTCTTTCAAATTCATAGACTATGTTAATAAAAGCTCCAGACGATATTATTTTTTTAATACCAAAATCATCCTGAATGGGAAAAAAGGTCAAATTATCGTAATTTACAGATGATACAACTTTTAGATATAATGACTTCAATAAGGCTGTTAGATACAAGATGAATATATGAAAACCAATTAATTGTGTTCTTCTCTTTGGTCTTTTTGAGACAGGGTCTCCCTCTAGCCCCAGCTGTCCTGGAACTCATGGAGACCAGGCTGGCCTTGAACTCATAGAGATCTGCTTCTGCCTCCTGAGTGCTGGGATTAAAGGCATGCACCACCATGCTCAACTCAATTGTGCTCTTATACCCTTGCAATGAATATAAAAATTTAAGAATTTAATTTACAACAGCGCCAAAACATAAAATCCTTAAGAATAAGAAAGATAGGTATCTATGAATTGGAAGACTATACATTTTTAAGATACTCTTAATTTTTAATGATGTATGTTTGTGTGTCTGAGTGTGGGTTTCTGTACATGAGTGCAGCAGCAGAGGCCAGAGGCAGTGGGTCCCCTGGAGCTAAAGTTAAGCAGTTGTGAGTCATCCAACCTGTGTGCTTAGGTCTTCTATAAGAGTAGGAGACATTCTTGCCGGGTGTGGTGGCGTATGCCTTTAATCCCAGCACTCAGGAGGCAGAGGCAGGTGGATCTCCATGAGCTCAAGGCCAGCCTGGTCTACATAGTAAGTTCTAGGACAGCTGGGGCTACAAGGAGACCATCTCAAAAAGATCAAAAAAACAACAACAAAAAAACACGTTCTTAATTGCTGAGCCAGTGCCCAAAAGAAGATAATATTCTAAAAAGTGAATGCTTGCAAATAAATCTATACATGCAACCTCAAAACTTCAAATTCTTTTTCTTCTTTGTGACAAGCATATCCAAAACGTCATAAGGAAAATAAGGAACCCCAGCTGGCCTTGAACTCAGAGATCAGCCTGCCTCTGCCTCCCAAGTGCTAGGACTACATGCTTGGGCCACCACACCTGGCTAAGGACTTGGGTTTAAACCCCAGAACCCCTAGTGGAAGGAGAGAACCGACTCCTCAAAGTTGTCCTCTTACCTCCACATGTCTGCATGTACACATCTATCTCCTATCCCACTAATAAAACTAAAAAGCCTTTTCCTTGTTTGTTTGTGAAAAATATATCCAGCTTGGGATCTTTTATGATGCTTGGTATTCTTCAAGTATTATTATGAATAAATAAGTGGTAGGAGGAGTATGTGAACATAGAAATTTAAAACATGGACAAACACTGGAATCACCTTGGAATTAGGGCAGCTGGAACTTTCTCTTCAGGTTTCAGGACTTAGATTAGCTCCACCAAAC